CTGTGCCTCCTGCTATGCTGCCTGTTGTATGGCGATCTCATCGGAAGTCACCACTAATGGCCAACTTGCCATGACGCCAGTGGACTGACTCAGGGTCTACTCGACCGTTGACCCTACGGCCCCTGAACTGCTAGCCTGGGAACTCTGCTGCGCACGATTGCCATGGCTGCTGAAGCAGTGGCTTCACTTGTGAATGCCCTGCTGTCCTCCGTTGCCCTAGCTCTCCGCTGTTGCTGCTGCCTCTCCCTAAGCTGGCGAAACAGTAACCTATCACCCTCAGGTCCTAATGTCACATGGGCAATCGGGCGTCTGGCCAATCGCAAGATCCGGTCGTTCTCACTAGTGGTATCCCTGTCGCTCATAAGCTACACAACTGTACACAATATGCACTAGGTCACTATTTGATGCCTACCGCAGCGTAGTGCACAAACCGATTTATAATAATGAAAATAATTAATCGGTGGTTGCATCACAGTAGATACATTTGGGTTCAACAAGTAAGTTTAGATTCCTACAAACAAAACTACTTTGACTTTGACTAGTTCGCAAACAGAAAGCACAGTGAACAAAGAACAGTTCTAAACTATGTTGTATGTCAGATGTTAATGGTTGTACATCTAACTAATCAAAATAAAAATAGAATCATTTGTTGGGTCTGTCTGGAGAATGGAATCTTGCCCGAACTTATCACCTGGAAACTACCCCTTCCTCAGTTCTTCATGAATGTCTCTTGTCGCCTCGTCCCTGAGCGATCCGGACAGCGTGCGTGTCTAAAGGTGTGCACACGGCCCACCCCTATGGCCCGAGTCCTGTTGAGCTGGTGTTACATGCCCAGTTGGGCGATGTACATATAAAACCAAGGATCCGCAATGTGATGAAAAGGACTGAATGGACAATGTAGTGCAAGTAGAATCTCAACAAGCAGTGTGCATTCTAATACATACAAAAATGGTGCTTTATAGCGCAGTGGAAGACTTAGATACAAGTCCTGACTTAACCGGGACTAACCCCTTTCGCGTAGTACAAGATAGCGCAGCAGAATACTAGAATACTAATGACTAGCCTAATCAATGTTACAACGCAGACCAAACATACATCATTCTCACAACACGGTATGAAGCGCGCCTGGCGCTATACACAAGAAGAGGCGCCAGGTCCAGTTCATGCACAAACGAAGAGGAGGGGATCAGACGGAGAAGAGGAGGGGAGAGATGGGAAAGTCGTCAACATCAAGTCTCGTTACAAATCCCAATAATCCCTCGTCCAATGCCGAGTTTGGATCCAAATGTCACCAAGCTCTCTCTCTCTCTCTCATAGTCTGTTGATGTAGTGAAGTCAGATAACGAGAGGGTGAGAGGGAGATGGCGGACTGAGAAGAGGAAGAAAAAGAACTCTCTCTCTCTCGTATGCCACGTACTAACCTGTGAAGGTGGCGATGTGCTGCAGGTACCTCGAAGACGAAGCTGGAGCGATGGCGCTGCAGGTAAGTCCCTCTGACCTCCGCCCATTCTCTCTCTCTATAGTACTACTCTAGCTGCTATGGCGCCCAATGCTGAAGACTATAGCTAACGCTACTAGCACCCAGCGTTGGAGATTACTTCTAACACGACTACTACTCCTGCAGTGCTCCTCCAGAGTGCTGGTGTCGAATCCTGAAGACTACCTCCTGCCTCCTGAACTGCACGTGAAGTGCCTGGGAAGTACCTAGGAACTACCTACCGGCCTGCAGGGCGGGCCAGTCCTATATAGTGCTGGCCCGTCCAGGAGGCTGCTCTTGCCAATGCCGAGACGTGCTAGATCCTGGCGTTGAAGCTCAACCAGGGGTTGTCTTGAAAACAGTCCTGAAATGACTTGCGCTAAAACCCTGTTTTATTGCCTGAGTTTCAGGGCGGGTCGGACTGATAAGGGCCTGAAAATGGCCCTCAGTTTCAGGCTGAAAATACTCAGGGCCGGAAAGGCCCTGATTTAGCCTGAAACGACATAGGGCTTGTAGGCTCTTGTTTTCAGGCTTTTGGCCTGAAAATGTCACGGGCCTGAAAGGAGGCCCGTGCAGCCTGTTGCAGGTGCAGCATGTAACACCCCCCCCTCCTTATGAAGTCAAGCCAGTGCGAGGGCGAAGCTGACGATCTGAAGGTGGAATGTGGATGCGGGTGCGACGTGGAGCCGAAGATACCGGCTTGCCTTGCATCCTGCATTTGTAGCGTGTGAGAACATCCGGAGTTGTTGCTTGGAGTTCCACACGGGTCAACCAACGGCCAGCTCTGTGAGTGCAGTACGCAAAGTGTACCACGTACTCGGTTGGCCTGTTGTCGTAGCGCCGGTGGGAGATGATATCGCCGACCTCTTGAAAACCGTCCATAGAGGGTGGGTCTTGCGATCATCACCCGAGAAAATCGTCATGTTTCGTTGGTGTGTAAAGAGCCAACTTGGAGCAATGAAAGACCGGGTAGACGGACAAGTGGGCGGGCACCTTAATAGTGAAGGAAGGTCCCTCGGGTGCATCCCCAACAGGTGCCACGATCAGCCAGGGCCCCATCCATTTCGGGAGGAGCTTGCGAGAGAGATCTTGTTCAAGGCTGAATTCCACGGCGGAAACCAAAACGAGATCGCCGGCGTGGAATGGGTAAGGAAGACGCTGGCGTTGGCCTGCTGGCTCATGCGTTGCTGCCTCTTGGCCATCTGGTCGTGTGCCTTGATAAGTAGCTCTTGCATCTGACGGAAGAAAAGAAGATGGTCGTCGCTCTCGGCCATTTGGGAATGGTTGTGTCCAGCGGCGAAGTGACCGGCGAGTTGTGCTCGAACTCGAAGGGCGACATCCTGATAGCCGGATGGATGGATGAGTTGTATGCCAACTCGACATCCGGCAGCCGCTCAACCCAATCCTTTTGGTCGGGACGTATGAGAGTGGGAAGGAGAACCTGTGCTGTTTGATGCGCCCTCTCCGTTTGGCCATCGGTTTGGGGGTGGCGGACAGAACTTGGCTTGAGAGATGAGCCCCATCGTTTGATGAGTGTCAACCAAAAATCGAACATGAACCGAGTGTCGAGGTCGCAGACGATTTCCTTGGGGTAACCCTTGGTTCGAATCCAACCGGCGTAAAGAACCTCGGCCAACTCCGGTGCCTTGGCATAATAGCAGCAAGGAAAAAACATGGAAAACTTGGTGAGTCGGTCGACCACTGTGAGAATCCTATCCACACCGGTCTTGTGCTTGGGAAAACGTCCGGTAATGTCCATGGCAATCGCTTCCCTTCAGCGCAAGGGGACCAGTAATGGACGCAACTCGTCGTACGGAGGATGGTTGCGGGATTTGCAGCGTCGACAAACCTCGCATGACTCGCAATAGCGTGTGACGTCGCCGAGAAGGCCGGGCCACCAAAATTGCTCGCGATGTCGGCCAATCGTGCGATTGACTCCAAAGTGTCCGGTGGCGGGAGCATCGTGGAACTCGCCAAGAAGCCGTGTACGCAAGTGAGAGTCACTTGGTACGCAAAGAAGGTCCTTCCCCCGCGTGTGGACAAGCAAGTATCCCTCTTGGATCCGGTAGTGAGAAGGCGCCGGATTAGGAGAGAAGCAATTCGCGTACTTGTCGTGAAACTCGGGGTCGACTTGGAAGCACCGGATGAAACTGTCCCGCAGGTCGTCGCCGATCTCAAAGGTCGAGTAGACTGCGGTACAATGATCCGGATGTCGTGAAAGAGCATCCGCAAAATAGTTTCCCTGGAATATGATCGGGAAAGAAGTCAAATTGGTTGATGAAAGCCATCCATCGGGCGATGGTGCTATTGACGGTGTCTTGGGTCTTGTAGAAGACCACCGGATTGTTGTCGGTTACCCATCGGAATTGGCTTCGACCAAGGAGGAAGTGTCGCCACCGCTTGAGCGCGTGGACGAAGTTTAGGAGCTCCTTCTTGCATGCATCGTCAATGGAGTGCACGACGGGCACGTTCTTGCTGAAGTACTCGACTGGGTGTCAGTCCCCTCCATCGTCTTGCTCGAGGACGACACCAATGCCATAGCCGGATGCATCCGTAGTGACGTGCGTTGGCAACACAGCTCGCAAAACTACATTTTTTACGAACCAGATCCGAATTAGATTTGCTTTTCAAAAAAATCTATAACCAGATCCAAACTGGATTTGAAATTCAAATAATTTTCAAACTGCATCCAACCCAGAACTCTGTTTTCGAAATTTTTCCACCTGCGCCTAACCCAGCTGGGAACGAGAAAAAATGCTCAACTGCATCCAACCCAGCTAGGGCCAGCATAACATCCACCCGTAGCCCGCCCAGGCCCACCCATGGTCAACCACGTGCGCTCATGCCCCACTTCTGCCCACCCTTGCCCCACGTGTACCTACGTCGATGTAAGGAGAACCACGACTTACTATGTGGCTTTGCCAAATACTAAGGAGAAGCACAACTTAGTACGCGGTTTTGCCTCGTACAACAAAACAGTCTGCACCAGCCACGTCCATGCCCCTCCACGTGGTAGAGCATTGATATGGCAGGGCATCGATGTTCTTGCGCTAGATAATTTTTTTGTTTTTTACTATGCTAATGCAAAGAAGAGCAATCATGTGTACTTTTCTTCCTTACCTGCTGCTGTTGACGCCCAACCACCTCTCTCTCTCTCTCTCTCTCTCTCTCTCTCTCTCTCTCTCTCTCTCTACTGAGAGTTATTGAGGTACTTAGTACTTAGATATAGAGGAACACATATATTATATATTATATTATATAATATATATTGCCATATATATATATATATATCGTCAAATATATATCGTCAAATAGAACTGCCCGGTAAACCGTAGGCAGAGAGGGAGAAGAGGACAACAAACGAGGGGCTGTGTATATATATATATATATATATATATTGTCACATAACATTAGGAGGCCTAGTTCGGGTCACCCGTGGAATTTTCCACCCAGTTGTGGCCCGTAACTGGGCTGTCCTACCAGCCGGCCGGCCCAGCCAGGGCTGGCCCTTTCAAAATTGCACCTGAACTAAGCCCGTCAGTTGCAGCTGGGCCGGGCAGTTTGCAGCCACGGCCACCCGATTGCAGGCTCTGGTTGGCAATTGCGGGTCGTATATGCGCAAGTCCTCCGCAGATAATTGCGCGGCTTTGAGAGCCAAAAATGATTCCCACGCATCCTCTCCGAAGTCAAACGGTCGATCCTCGCATTGAAGCTTGGACAAGTGGACCGCGATCTTCGAGTATCCCTTGATAAAACATTGGTAGTAGCCCGCAAGACCAAGGAACGAACGGATATCCGTGACGTTCCGCGGCTCCAACCACTCTTGGATGGCTTGAATCTTGTACGATAGCGGACTGATGCCCTCCGGTGTGACAAAATGGCCCAAGTATTCCAGCTCTTGTCGGATGAACTCACACTTGTCGCGGTTGGCCTTGTACTTGGCGCGGCGGAGTGTCTCCAACACTCGTCGAAGGTGCTCAAGATGATCCTGCAATGAGCGGCTACAGATGAGAATGTCGTATAAGTAGACCAGCACGAACCGGTCCAACATCACATGAAACTCGTTGGTCATTGCCGCTTGAAAGGTCGTCGGGGTGTTGGTGAGGCCAAAAGGCATGACCACCTACTCAAAATGCCCGTACTGCGTCTTGAACGCGGATTTGTAGCGATCGTTCGGTCGGATCGAAATCTGATGGTATCCCGACTTCAAATCCTACTTAGAGAAGTACTTAGCGCCGCCCAATCGCTCAAGAAGATCATCGATGTGAAGAAGAGGCCCCTCATTCTTGACGGTTTGCGCGTTGAGCTTGCAGTAGTCGATGCACAATCGTAAATATTTGTTCTTCTTCCGTACGAAGAGAACAAACACTCCATATGGAGAGTTACTAGGGCGGATCCAACCCTTGTCCAACAAATCATCGAGTTGTGCGCGGAGGATCGTAAGCTCCTCCTCGCTCAGGCGATAAATGCAACCTTTCGGCGGCACGACACCAGCCTCGAGAATGATCTCGTGAGAGATCGGCCGATCCACCACCGCATCGGTAGGTGACTCGAACATGTCGGCAAACTCGTCAAGCAACCGCACCACACGGGGGTCCGAAGACAAGTCCATGGGTGAAGAGTCGGCTACCGCAATGTTCCGTAGGAAGCATAGGCTGATTTCGTCGGGCTGCTCGTAAGCACAAGTAGCCCGGAATGATTTGGCCGTCACCACTTGGCACCAAATCGAAGGGTGCGGAAGAGGAATAGTACACTACACTTCGGCGACGAAGGCGTCCCGAACGGTAAGAGTCCACCAGTGGAAGTAGACCGCGTGATCCGCACTTGCAAGCCAAGGCATTCCCAAAATAATGTCGAAGTCCGTGCCAGAATGTCAAATGTCACCGGTTCGCATGCATGAGGTGCGAAATACACCGGTACGGCCTCAATGTAGCGGTTGATAAGCTGCTCTGTCCTTCCGTCCGCCAACTTGATCGTCGTCGGGTTTGCCTTCCTTCGAACTTGTGCGCCAAGGCCAGCCTTTTGCATAAAGGCTTGACTCATAAAATTGCGAGACGTGCCGCTATCCAGCAAAGCGCTGCAGGACGCTTGCCCAACTTGGATGCAGACATAGAGGAGCGGTGCATTATTGTCATCGTACTGCTGCTTGCGACACTCACGGGCCACCTTGGTAACACACGCAAGGATGTCCCCCACCGCGACTTCGTCATCCGTCGGCGAAGTTGGTGGTGCATAGAAGGATAAGTACGTGTGAAGATGAGCGCATAATGCTGCGCATTGCGGTCCCGACAATCGGCTTGTGGTCGGGAGAGGAAGCCATGCGAAATCCTCCGACGTGAGCGGGTCCAATACCTCTATGTTGAACTCGCTCGCCGAATCCCGTGATGAACCACGTGAAGGCGATAAGTTGTCGTTGCCGGACGAAGAAGATGCCGCACACACGTCTTGTCCTTGAGCATGAAGACGATAAGTTGTTGTTGTCGGACGGAGAAGATGCCGCACACACGTTTTGTCCTTGAGCATGAGTACCCAGCGTAGGAATGAGCCAGGCAGCATAGTCCTCAAAAGAATAAAGAAGAGGACTATCGACTTCCACATGTACCTCGGAACGAAGGGCGGTCACCCGTGAAGTGACCGGTTCTTAAGGCGTCGAGAGTGTCATCGAGTCACTCCCAACGGTGCTCAGTTTCCCGATTTGCCCTTGCCTTTCGACTGGCAGGCCATTGTGTCGTGGAGATCGCTGTTACACCACAAACAATAACGGAATCTCGTGCGTGCCTTATATGCTTGCTCGGAGAGACCGTAATGGGACCATGGGGCTGGAGCTGCTGCGCTAGGCCCGGGGCTAGATGCGATGTTTGTCTTCGCATTGCCATGTCCTCGGCCTCTGCCGGGGCGGCCACCTTCCCGGGCGACTGCGAGTCTGTCCCCTTCATTGGTAGACATGACCTCGCTAGTTTGGTCATTTGGTATTGCCGCCGTGACCGCGGCCACTTTCGGTCGATGCTGATCTATGCTCAGGCCTGGCGCAGACGAACGCTGGAAATTGTTGGCCTCCTTGTTCGTCACAATAATCTGCGTGGCCTTGTTGAAGAGTTCTGCCGGTGTCGTCAGGGTGTCCTCGATGTGAGTCAAGGCATTGCCCAACACTGGACACGACCTCGAGATATAGTAGTGTTTGATGGCTTTGAAGTCCATTTGGATGTCGGGGACGGATGTCAAGCGTTGGTACTCGGCAATCCAATCGACACTCGGTATCGTGCCTTGTTCGAAGACCATCAGCTTGTCCATTGCCTTGATCTCCGGCGTCTCTATTTGGAACCGCTTATGCCACGCCGCCTTTAGATCCTCCCAGTTGATCTTGGTATGCAAGTCGGCAGCCACCACTCCATACTTGGACAGGAGATTGTCCAGCCATGTTTGGCACGCGCCCCCTGAGCGGGAGTATAAATATGCGTGATGTTTGTGCTCGCTGACGTAGTGTAGCTGCAAAGTGAGCTCGAACTTGCGGAACCATGGAATCAGGTCAGTCTTCGTCGAGCCGCAGAAGATCTCCTGCCCATCGAACTTTGGAGTTGTCTCACACGGTTCTGAGCTCGAGTGGTTGGCGGCAGTACAAATCCGCTGCTCCAACTGTTGCTTGCGGTTTGCTGTAACTGCACGCCGTCCTTGAGGGATCCGACGTCAATCTCCAATGCCTCGAGGCGATCGGAGGTGTTGGAAGAGTTGGCAACGGGGGCGGTGATGGTTTGTTCCAGCTGCTGGAGGCGGCTGGTGAGTTGATCAAACACCTGATTGTGTGTCTGAACCGCGTCGTCGAGGTTGTGAATGTCCTCCTGTTGTGCAATGCACATAGCCAGGAGGTCCGTGAGATGGGAGAGGAGTAGAGATATCTTGTTTCCACTCTCTTCCAGCTTCCCATACTCAGCGCTGGGCTGCCAGTCCGCTGCCATTGTGAGCAAAGCTCGCTCTCTGCTGAATATCTTCTCGCGTCGTTGAAGTCGTTCTTCATTGGCAACCTTTGCTGCTGCCTCGTCTTGCTGGCGCTATTGTTCAATTGCCAACAGATGTGCCTTCCTGGCGTCCTCTGCCTTCTTCTTTGTTGCGGCTGCTACTGCATCCGACCGTTGCTTTGCTTCGGTAATCAGAAGCAGCATCTGGGCCTGATAGGCCTCGTCCGTTTCTCCGGACATCTCGTCCATGACGGTTGTTTTCGAGCGTGTAAGCATAGACCAGGCTGGGGCCTGCTGACGTGACGTGGCTGCTGACGTGACGTGGCTGTTGACGTGTCCTGCTGACGTGGCAACTCACCAATGCTGCCGCAAGGGGTACCCGGAGGAGGTAAGACCAGAGGGGGCAACAACATAGGTCGGGGGGGGGATAAATCGACCAGATAAGGAGCCACTAATAAAAAAGAGAAGTTCGAAGTTTGAACTTTGCAAAATTTCTTTTCGAGAAAATAAAAAATCCCGAGTTTTGCAAGTTTTGTAGGTCTCCCAACCTCCCTTGAAGTGCGAAATTATCAATGAGAATTTTTTTTTTCGAACTTGGACTGCCAATGATTATCAGGTACTGAAAATCATAGAACTGCGAAAAAAATTCCGAAAATAAATAACCAGTATTCGGACTTACTCAGATGAGAGTATTCGCAGTTTGGAAAATGGTACCTACCGCTTTGAGAAAAAACGGGTTTCGAAAAAAATATTCCGAACTTCCAAATACGGAAAATTGCAAAAGAAAATCGAAATTTTCAAAAAAAAGATATATTTCGGAATCCGGATTTTCTAACAACGAAATTTCGAATTTTCATAAGGAAAACGAAAATGGGAATTTCAGATGTTGCGCTATTGCGATTTTCCACAATAGAAATAGCGAGAAAACAACATCCAAGAAAGAAAAAAAAAAATCGATTTTCGGCAATACGGTCAAAATCGTGATTTTGGGGGCTAACTAGTGTGCTCTAATCAATCAATCAAGACTAATCAACTACTTAGTCCCCGCACACGTGTCAGATCAGGTTGTCCTGATTCACGTGCGGTGTTCCGATACCAACTAGTACATGCCCTGTTGGGCGATGTACATATAAAACCAAGGATCCGCAATGTGATGAAAAGGATTGAATGGAAAATGCAGCGCAAGTAGAATCTCAACAAGCAGTGTGCATTCTGATACATACAAAAATGGTGCTTCATAGCGCAGTGGAAGACTTAGATACAAGTCCTCACCTGACCGGGACTGACCTCTTTCGCGTATTACAAGATAGCGCAACAGAATACTAGAATACTAATGACTAGCCCAATGAATGTTACAACGCAAACCAAACATACATCATTCTCACCACACAGTGTGAAGGGAGCCAGGCGCTATACACAGGAAGAGGCGCCAGGTCCAGTTCATGCATAGACGAAGAGGAGGGGATCAACCGGAGAAGAGGAGGGGAGAGATGGGAAAGTCGTCAACACCAAGTCTTGTTACAAGTCCCAAGTAATCCCTCGTCAAAATGTTTGAAGTCCAATGTCGAGTCTGGATCCAAATGTCACCAAGCTCTCTCTCTCTCTCTCTCTCTCTCTCTCTCTCTCTCTCT